AATAATAATAATAATAATAATAATAATAATAATAATAATAATAATAATAATAATAATAATAATAATAAAAGAAGGTCAAATTTATTCTCATTTATGACTTGTGATAGTTGCTGTATTCGAATATAGCTGCTTTTCTCACTGGTAACAGTCTTGGTAGTTTGGCATACCTGTTTTAAACAAATTATGACTCAGACATATTATGTCAATTCACATCATATTTTCTCCTGTGCAAAATTGAAATACATGTCTAGCAGGAGAAAAAATGACCAGAAATTTTCAATGATATTCATCAAAATCTGCAAAGCTGTAGCTTGCAACCTTCTTTAGTGCACATAGCATTTTCTTGATTTGATTTTATTCATCTAATTAGAATAAAAAGCCCTCTTTTCACATACACTGCGTAAAAAGGCGAATTTTAGATGCATCTCCCACAGGACCTGTTAAAATGTGGAACACTCTCTCAAGATATGGAAGAGGAGGACAAGGAATAAAAATATACTTATCTGCCATTCCTGTTTTCTAATGAAGCATCACAGTTCCTCTCTTGTTAACCTATCATAAGCTTTCTCTAGACCACTTATTGATTAAATTATATTCAAAACTCCTTCTCTTTATTTAAATATAATAGTATAGTAGTATGTTTTCATCGAGCAAACACAAGCAATACGAATACTCTGCAATGAATAATATCTCTGTCGCCACTGGGGCGCGCTGTGATAGCTTTCGGTTCTTCTCGCGCCTTTGTTTTGAAAGTAGCTTGTACCGGTGCATCATGGGATACAAAATGTTTCCTAAGGTAGCTAACTAGTGCTAATTTACCGGAGATAACTGGTTATAAACTCACAGTTTACCCCTTCTTAAAGTCTTTGTAGATAGAAAATAATAATATAATTTCAACTGCACCCAACTGTCGCTATGGTGAGTACAAAAGCTCAGGTTTAATAGCTTATAGCGGGGGGAATTTTTAGCTGTAGCTCTGTAAACGTAGCACTGTCTGCAACGTTTTTGTATATCCATATCTCCGTATTCTTTCATTTATTTGGGGTTTTGTTATTCGTAGCTTTGCCAGCTTATCCAGGAGCTTTAAAGGGTGACCTGTTTCTTGTCACACACAAAACCCGCACATATACACACACGCAACACAAGCAATAATGATTTCTCTGCGTTTGCAGTCGGCAGAAGCGGACTGTAGAGTGTCCACCTCCTCCAGCTCCAGGAAGGATGAAAGGAAAAGATCCAGAAGCACAGGCAAGTTTTTCCCCAATGCTTACCGGTTGCTCTTTCATTTTATATATTTTTTATTAGAGTTAACAGCTGAAGACACGTGACGTTACGGCTGGACATAGATAAATAGATGAATAGATACTTAATTGATCTCAAGGGAAATTATAGCAGCCAACAGTGTAAAACAGTGTCTCATGTTGGTGACTGGTGATCAAAGAGTGGACTGATTGTTGCTGAAAAGAAGGAAAACTGACTGTTAAATTAGTGTTTACCTATTATGTTTACTATATATAGTTATAGTAGATGCAACATATCTCTCCAAATCTATCAAAGATTTGACTGAAAGTCTTCATTTTTTGTGAAGATATAGCAGCAAAAATACATAAAAGAGACTGAATTCACATTAGCAGAAAAACAATAAAACAGGACACATTTCCTTTCTGTTTCACTGCACCTAGAGCTATATAAATGCTTAAAAATAGTACAAACTATGTTTGTGTATGTCATATTCAAAATGACACCTTAGTAACCAATTATACTCCCTTACTGTGTCTCGCTTCCAGACACTGTCAGACAAGGGAAATGCTGAATGGCTGCATTTGTAATTTTGTAAATATGGCTTACGTTAGTTTATTGTGTAATTACATTTTTGTTTTGCCCCTTTTTTTCAGGAAGAGAAAAAAGGAGGCGGAAACGCAGCCGTAGCAGATCTTCCTCATCATCCTCTTCCAGCTCATCGTCGTCGTCTTCGTCTGCATCGTCATCTTCATCGTCATCTTCGGGTTCTTCACGGTCATCCAGCCGAAGTCGCAGCAGCTCTAGCAGTAGTGGTAAGTGTGCACTAAACGTCTGAAATGTATCTAAAGAGTCTTTTTTTTCTCCTGAAGTTTTTCATCACAGTGCTGATATCTGTTTGGATTCAGCTTGGTGTGTTATTTCTGTTCCTGTTAGACTCTCGCAGTAAATCCAGAAAACAGTCCAAGAAAAGGAGAAAGGAGAAACATAAAAAAGTAATTTACTATTCATTTGTTAGCTTATATTGCCAAAGAATTTTTAAGCCCCAAGAAAACTGAATTATGCTTTTTTCTTTTCTATCCAGAAAGGGAAGAAAGAGAAACGGTCTAAACGTAAGAAAGAAAAGAAGTCAAAAGGAGAGGAGGACAGCTCAGGACCTGTGCAGATCTCCAAGGTAGGAAAACATTCAGCAAAAACCTTTACGTGTTTCTGTTAGACGAGTGTTTTATATTGGTGCATTATATCATGTAAATATATTCATGCATTTGCAAACAGTTCTTTCACAGGAAGAATAGAGTGATTATTTTTTAAGATTACGGACTAGCACTTTAATCATTAGGTGTTCTCACAATGGCCCAAGATGAATTACAGAATAAGTCTATTCATCTTTATTCTTAGAATAAAACATGCAACAATTGCTACTCATCCTCCTCATCTTTGAGGTGGGAATAACAAAGCACACAAGCACCTGTCCAAATGAAGCTCGCCTCACCATGAAGTCCCCTCCAAAATCCTATAGACCATAAAGGACTTCTAATATCAAAGCCATCCATAATAGGTGGTAATATTCTTCATTTTACAACTTTGTTTTTAAAGAGTTGTGACTCCAGCCTGGCTAATATGACAGCCATTTTAAAGTCAGAACACCCAAACTTTTTATTCTTTAATTGTTTTGATCCATATTTCTTCATACTGTTACTGCAGGTGTGCATCTTCGCATTTTCCGACATTTTTGTTCCATCCTTAACTTGGCTTTTATTTTGAAAATTGACCTCATTCTTTATTCTTTTCCTGTACCTGACTTCCTGCCATCCTCATACGCCATGTGCAGCTTCCATGCATAATAAACCCAGTGCTGTGTTAAGCATCACAGAACAAAGAGCCGTTTCTGGGACATGCTGTGGTGCATTTCTTCAAATTGCAAGTGTTGTCTTGAGTACAGCCTGTGTTTGCATTGATATTGGAATGTGATAGAGCCTGTCTGGCATTTTCCTGGGATTAGTTAGAAGTTGAACTGATAAGATTCTTTAAAATTAAATGTGTTTTTCCTTTCAGTATTTGAAGGACAGGAAAAAGGGCAAATACAGCATGATTTCAGGGAAGAAGATAAAGATGAAAGTAAAGAAATCAAAGAAAGACAAACAGGTAAGCAATCAGATGTGCCTTTTTGTAGTTTATAGATTGTTTGTGTTTTTTTTCACTTGCCTTATGTTTGCTTTGTTTTCTTACAGCGAGACAAAAATCGAGCAGAGCTTCTGGAGTTCTTGAACTCTACCCTGTAATCCCGCTGTGAACACCGGTCCTGTTTGTCAGGCCCAGACACCTCAGCAGATCTCAGGAAAAAATAAAAGCAGAGTTTTCTGAGAAGGAAAAGATGACTGTAAATTGAGTTGCCACAGAGAGGCAGCAGCAACGTTGACGGAGTGCAGGAGGAGATATTTCTGTGGGCAAAACAAGAAGCATTCACACCGCAGGCTCATGATGTAAGCGGTGTTATTATTAAGCAGTTGGGTAAGTTCATCTGTGGTCCACCAGATGGAAATAAAGTTGCTCACCTGCCTCTGACTTCTCAGATTTGCTTGCAGTTTGTCATGTCTTTCAAAAAAAGAACTCCCTAATTAGGTCGCAACATACCATTTCACAAAATACTGAATTCAGTCAGTAATTGGTTCAGAAGAGATATGGGCTTAGATCTATATGTGTCTTCCATGTGCGAAGCTGGCTCCAACATTACCCACAGTGTATCTCAGCCACCGGCAGCCTGGTCGGAGTCTCGTGTAGCAACAAAAAGAGGACTGATCAAGTCACACCCTCTGATTTTCTTTTTTAATAAACCTGATTTAAAGATTTGAAAACAGACTTTGCTGTTCTTCTTTCAGCTCTTAGTTACTTTCCCCATTCATAGCAGCCTTCCTACATTTAGAAAGGTTTCGTACGTTCATTTTCTGCTTGTAGCTGATGAGAATTGTGGTTGCAAAAGTGCAAGCCTGATTGTGTGTTGAAATAAGTTTTTAACATGTATATTATGTTAAAAATGCAAATCGACTCTGTATTGTTGAATTATTATAGTAATTCTTATTCATAACCATTTATTCTCTCATGAACAATGTTTCAAAATCAGTTATTTTTATTGTATTGACATATAAAAACACAGACACTGTCAGTTCCTCTTGTGTGGAGACGATGTCAAGATGTTTATGGATGATGGATGAAACCTTTTATGTATTGCTGAATAATGGTGGGTGACAAATGGAGCAGAAACAGCAATTAAAGTGCGTCAAAGCTTTTACTTTGATCTGACAGCCTTTGATGATTAATTCCTCTTCCCCCAACCCCTCCCCTCCAACATCCTCTTGCAAATAAAGAGCACAGAAAGAGAGCTTTCAGTTCACCGACCTTGGATGATGAATTATGTTCCTGGGTCCTTCTGTGCAGTTCAGGAGGGAACGCGTGACTCACCTTCTCATTGGATTAAGTCATTTGTTTTAAGACTATTTTCCTTCTATACAAAAACTGTATGAACAAAATTTATAGCCCAGCCCTGCCTGTGTAGTCTGACCTAGCACCAAGTTTCTCCTCCCAATAAACAGCAGTTTAAATTCGATTAATTTCCCTATTAGGCTACATTAAAAAGCCCTCAGTGCTTAGATGCCAAATCTCTGCAAAATGAAAGAGGCATCACTTCAAGTAGTGATAATCTCATGAAAATTCTTTCAAGTACTAAAAAATATTTAAAATATGATAAACTAGAAAAAAGACACTTCAGATATAAGAGTAAAGCAGGGTCAAATGCTGATTGGTACTGTACTGTAAAACCAGGAGGACAGATGGACTCATCCTCTCTCCTGGTGCAAAAGTGGACACTGCTACAAAGCATTAGTCCTACTGAAACGTCCCACCATCATCATTATCATCATCACCATCTCTGTCCCGTGAACTCCCGCATCAAACAATCTTACTGCTGCCGGTTCCTTTGTATCTAAAGTCAGGCATGCTCCACACTCTCTGCATTTTCTCGTCCTTGTCCATCCCTCTCTCCACGTCCTCTGACACGGTTTTGAGGTCGCTTAGACCCGCCCCTTCAGCTGCAGCAGAGGTCAGGCCCACTGTGCTTCCAAACGGGTTGATCTTGATCCGCGATCTAAAGTTCATGAGGGAAACGCTCATGGCACGTTTGTTGTTCCACTGGCGAGCAAGTCGCTCCGCCTCCTGCTCCTCCTTCAGGTGATCCAGAGCCTCCATGAGGACAGAGCGAAACAGACCAGAAACGTCATGCACTTCGGGCTCATTGGCCTGCATGGCCTCCCTGAACCTGTGCAAAGAAATGAAACAGTGATTGTGTGGTTGTTAGTGCGATGGTTTTGTAATTGCCTTTTTCTTTTGGTTGTTTTGTGCACCCTTTCTACAAAAAGATGCCATTAAAAATGTTTTTCATTTAAAAAATATGAACATTATTAGCAATTAGCTTCTAACTAACTCATACAACAAGTTTGAATCATTTAGAGTTTCCCACCTCTATATACTTGTTAGGTTCAGATGCTTGTAAACAAAAACATCAAATCAGCTAATCGCACGGAAGCAGCTCAGTGCATTTAGGAATGGAGACTTCATAGAGACGACCTGCTGATGCTCAAACTGAACATCAAAAGGGGCAAAAGAAAGGACATTTGCTACAAGACAGACTGGTCTAAGTATTTCAGAAACTGCTAATCTGCTGGGATTTTCCCGCACAACTATCTAACATGCAGTTTTATTAGATGAAATCTGAGCATTGTGAGATAACAAATGGTGGAACCTAGGTTCTTTGTCTTGTGTCCTTAATGAGTCCAGTGGAGTGACAGCAGATGCCTTTTAATACAAACGTGCTCACATTATAACACCTGCTTGCTCTTCTAGCTGTGAATCACTTGAGATCCTCAAAGCAGGACTGTCTATATATATGCTTTGCTTTTTTTTTTTTAAATTTAAGTAAAGTGCATGTGTGAAAGCGACTATGGTCAAATGATCTGATAAAAGGATGCTGGTCAGAACTAACGCTGGAACTGCACAAGTCAGTTAATGAGCATCATCATTTTCTAGCAAATTCTGTGTTTCTTTTGTCGGTACGTTCGATAAATTGAATCTTTCACACGTCCCATGACATGTAATGCTCAGAGCCATCTTAACCTGCCTGTAACAGATGAGGATCCACGTGATGGCAAATGTTCCTCCTATGCCAACAAGTGCCTGAGGCCCTAACAAACTTTTAAATAGAAAACCTGGGAACCAGTTGCTCAGTAAGTACTTCAAACTGACTCATAATTGGCCTTTTGATCAACTCATGCTAGCTCAGATTTATGACTTTATAGACTTTTATGATTCCAACAATATAATTTTAGAAATACAGTGAAATATTCCTATTAAGGATACAATTTAGTTTGGCAAGAAATTTTAAAAGAAACGCAAATCCATCCTTAGGCCTTCATATGTCATGATCCTGGGCTGACTTCTCAACCCTAGTAATCTCACTCGATTATAATAAATACTAGTTAAAATGTATTATCTAAGGTAAGATGTTCAAAAACGTGTTATTAATGTGTTTGGCTGGCACAAAACTTTTCTTTTCAGTTGTAAAACAGATTAAAAATGAACCAACTTTACCAATAGAGTCAATCAGTTTCATTTTATGTATGAAATTGAGTAAGTTTAATATAAATTTAAAGATGACACTTTTAACAATTCCCCAGAAATCAGACTCACCAGATGGAATATCTAACCTAAAAACGCTTGTTTAAAAAAAAAAAAAAAACACTTATTTTGGGGCGGGGGGATCTCCCAGTTGCCCTGTGGCAGCTGGAACAGGCCCCAGTCTCCCTTCTACCTTGAACTGGACAAAAAATGGATGAATAAATGCAATTTTACTTTGTTAAACACACTTTATAGTAAGACAGCTGAGTTCTTTGCCCACATGAGGCAAACTGAGATTGCAAAAACATGGTCATCTTGGTCCCTGCTGTGTTGGTGACTTCCACTTACCATTTAGCACCTCACCTCTTACTCACATTAACGCTGTTAAACTCTAACAAGGCACCTGGAGCCTCTGCAGCTTTCTACGAACAGATGCTAAGAGGAGTTCAGGAAGTCTCTGTCGGAGATTAAATGGCTTTGAATGCACCAGAGCATTAAAGTCACACGTCAAATGACGGAGAAGCTGGCCATCTTATCAGTTTGCCTCACAAAACCTTCCCCTGGTCTGTGCCAAAGAAGACGCTTAAGTGTGTCTCGTAAAAGTGTTAACACAAACAGAATTAGGGAGGGGTTATAGTTGGTTACAGACACAGACCAGTAGCCATTCCTGTTATAAGTTTTTGAAGACCACCAGAGTGCCTCATGCCTAGTTGATGCAATGTAGTCTCAAACTGTCACAAAAGATTTTGTTGTCTTAAAAGGAATCAACACAGTCAGCGACAATACTCAGGTCAGTGTGGATTTTAAATGATACTTAGTTGGTACTAAAGGGTCTAAACTGTGCCAAAAAATAAGCCTCATGCATTACACCACCAGGAGTTTAAACACTGATACAAGGCAAGATGGAACTATGCTTTCTGACCCTACTATCTGAATAATGTACCAGAAATCAGGACAGGAGTGGCACTCAATGTGGTCTTCTGCTGCTGTAGCCCACCTGCTTCAAGGTTTAGCGTGATGAATAACAAGGTGTATTCAGCATGGTTATGCATGGTTGCATAACCATCAGCTTGAAGTCCAGTCATTCTCTTCTGAACTGCCGTTCACTGGATATTTTGTCTATCCAGTTTAAATATCTCCACTCTGATGCTCAATTTGAACATCAGCAGGTTGTCTTGAACATGTCTACCTTTCTAAATGCATGAGTTGCTGCCACGATATTTGCTGATTCGTTATTAGCATTAACAAGCAGTTGAACAAGTGGAAGTAATGAAGTGTCCAGTGGGTGTGTCTATAAATATCTGAGCGGGAAAAATTTTAAAAAAAGGCCAGATCCAACTTAGCCTCTTTTCTGCCCTAGTACTTAGGAAGCATGCTAACACAGCAGTCCCCAACCCCCGGGCCATGTGAGTCGTTTGGTACCGGCAGAGAGTTGAGGCTCGGGTGTGAAATTTATGTTTTTTGGGGTTTTATCGGTTTTTATCGCTGTTGTTTTTTCCCCCCGTCTGTTATGAATAAATCTTCTTTTTTTGGTACCGGTTCTGGTTTTATTTTGTTATTTATCCGCAACACCTTACAGGCCAGTCCGTGAAAATATCGTTGGACATACCGGCCCGTGGTGCAAAACAGGTTGGAGACGGCTGTGCTAACACACAAAATCAAAATAGCAGTAAACTTTGTGCCACATTGGCTTGTTAGCATTGCCGTGTTGGTTATGGGTATTGTTACAAAAAATAAATACAATTATATATTTAAATACATTCTTACAACATTGGTGATCTTATCTTTCAACTCGAAGCACAAATCTTTTTCCAATAAATAAAGCTAAGGTTAGCATGCTTGCTAGCTAAATATCTTTATTTATTCATTGCACTGTGTGTATGTGATTGTGCTGTCATTATTATCCAGTGTTAAATAATGTGTCAATAAATTTAATCTCTGAGGGGGGTTTTTTCTTCTTCTTCTTAGAGAATAGATGCTAACTTGTAGCTCTCCTCATTCATTTCATAAGTAGTCATGAGATAGTAGCTCTGAAGTCAAACTGTCTTCACATTTAATAAAATTAAAGTAGATTTTTGGCAACAAGGAAAGAATATGGTATACTGCTAAACTGCTATAGTGATTTTCATCTCACGCCTACTCGCTATCACCTTACTTGAGTATGACCAGCCCACAACAGGATGGGGGCACCTTGGCACAGAGGTCCTCCAGGCCAAGTCTCTCGCCTGTACTGATGTTGTAGGTGGACCGGGGCGTGCTGGCTAGCCAGCTGTAGTCGACCCCAGTCTTCGTGCGTCGGTACTCGTTCTCCCTCTCTCTCTGCTGCTTCTCAGACTCCTTCAGCTGCCAGCTGAACTCGAGCATCAGGGTGTCGGTAACCACGTTGGCCGGGTCCCGGCGGGGAGTCCGGTAATACGGCTCGTTCCAGCTGAACCAGGAGGCCATGGCCGCGTCCTCCTTCACTGTTCCCTGATGAGGGGGAATGACAAGCAGACTTCAAGTTTATTTCTGAAAGGCTGTGTCTGTGAGAACAGAGCATTCATTCAAACAGGCCACAAAGTCAAAATCAGCCTAATCCCAGATCAGCTGAACTGAGCCCACATCAGCTGACGACTCAGCTGACGCTCTTTTATGCATCCAACTGGCAATACAGGTTGTGCTATTTAATCTGCATTAACCTGCCAGTTCCTGGACATCTGCAAGCCACTTTGCAACCCACCTCTGTTGCCTGCTCTGCTCTGTGAGCATTTTTGCTTCTGCTGTCCCAGAACAAAGCCACACTGCCAAAAATGAATTATAGCAGATGGAAATAACATTCTTATTCTCAATTGAGTGATAAAGAAATAAATAATATGTTTAGAAAGAGACACGCTTGAAATGTTTAATTAGAATCTGTGGATGTTTGAAAATGGTACCAATAAAACATAACAAACAGCACAGGGTTGACCTGCAACGAGTTTTAATGAACATTCATTTTGTAAAACAAAGCATCCTCTGAAGTGTGTTCGATATCTGCATATTTTTCAAAAAGACAACATCCACCATGCTGCGTCGGCTCTTTGTTCTGCAGGTGTCATATCTGCTCCAAAGGATCTCTATTCAAGCCGATCAATAGTGGGCCTTTTGTTAGCTTGTATTAAAAAGCACAGCTGTGAAGGCCACTGATTCTTGCGTTGTGGGTCATTATTTAGGATTTTAAAGCATTGATTTTACATGATGGGACTTTGGCACCTTTTTTTTCTAAATGAAAAACACTGTTTCCGATTCACAGCTTTAAAGCTGACAAATCTAAGTCCCATTTTTAGTGGTTTTTCTAGTATAGATGTTGTTTTCAGCATGACCAGCCCCTTTAATGCTTGACCACAGTGTTTTTATGGTAGGTTAATCTATTTACATGCTGGAGGTATCTTCTGGGCCACATCAGTTGTACATGCGCCTCCAGGTGCTGTGGCTACAATAAAACATGCGCTGAGAAAAGGTTTCACAACAGAGCGATGGAGTGAGATTACAGCCCTACCTCGACCCCAAGTGGCCAGCACCTTAACCCTTAAAAATGGAGCAAGTAAAAGAGTCACTGCATCAGTATGTTTTACATTAGGAAGGATAAAGGCTGCATTTTTCAATCTATCAAGTAATCAAAAAACAAAACAATCTGATAGCATCTTCTTTTTAATCAGAAGTCTAAAATATTAAACTTGCTAGGAAGTAAAGTCAGAAAATAGGTGAGTCTTTTAAAGAGAAATGACATAAACTAAAACCACAAAATAACCAAGCATTGAAAGACCTTTAATCTCAAGTTGTTTTTGTAATATTTGTTAATAAATGACCTAAAAGATCACTGGATTTCCAGCCATTGTCAATTAATTTCTCTGTCAATAGCAACCATTTAAACTGACCACTCCTTTCAGCCCCGAATTGGAGACTGGTCTGCTGCTCTCTTTCAGGACTCCAAATCTGAGTAATTTCTTATTTATAAGTGGCGTGAATACCAGAAAAAAAATACATGCCTTTCTGAAGTCAGTTTTTCAGCCTTTATTTTGAACCAGCTTGTTGCTTCAAAGAATGCCTTACCTCTTCCTTGTTTCTGAAGTTTTCTTTGGTCTCCACAAGATATAAAATCACCGTAGAGCCGAACAGTAAAAGTCCTCAGGAAGCAGAAGAGCTGGGTGGATGTCGAAGAGACTGGCTGAATGAAACGCAGAGAGAAGAGAGAGGAGAAATGGTTTTTCTCTCGCCTCCTCTTCCATCCTCTCTCAGCATTATCGCCACCTCTCGCTCTCCCCTCCTCCTCCCAGGAGCCTCTCTGGCCTGCCTTTACTTGTTGCGGGAGGTTGGGGGCACCATCTCCAATGGGAGCCGTTGGATCATGGCCCCTGATGAAGTGCTTATGTAGCTCTTTACGATCCACCGTTGCCATAGAGACACTTGTAAGCCTATTTGTCCACAATAAGCTCCATCAGCTGAAAAGGGAGCCTGAGAGCGATGAAGAGGCAGATAAACAGGACAGAGTGGGTTGAGCAGCGAGAAGGAAAGAGGAAGACAAATCAAAGAATGTTGTTCGGAGGACAGTGTTAGTGGCGTGGGAGCTCGGCAGTGCACGGACAACACATGCGGGAGGTCATCCTGTGTAAATGAATAAATTAACTTCCCGCAGATAATGGGAGTCACTGGGTTACAGTGGATGGTCCTGAATTTTTGGAGGGGAGGAAATGTGCTAATTACAGGAGGAAATGTTTGTCAGTGTGTGTGATGCACAGGATAGAGTCCAGACTTAATGTGCAGTTGTTGTGTAGGAGGAAATCAAGGTTTGTTGGCTTATTCTGTGTGTAGGTGTGAGTAGCAGCAGCAGCAGCAACAGCAACAGCAGCTAACCTCTGACAGCTTCCTTCTGTGCATTCTCACTCCAACCTTAAAATCCTCATCACCCTTCCATTACAGCACAACACCATCCTCCTCCTCCTCTTTAGCGATACACCGCTAAATAAAATGCTGGATGAACGGCGACCTCTGTTTAGTCACTGCAGAAGAATCCATTACTGAGAATGCTCACTAAGTAAAACAAGAGAAACATTTATATTCACTGCTGCATCTTCTAATGATAACATGGTGACACCAATATAAAAAGAAATAAAATAAAAGCTCTAAATGTGTCACAATATTTATGGTTCATAAAAATATTGCAGCAAACAATTCAAGCAGGTCTGAAAAGTACTCTTTTTTCATAGTGACGTGACAGTAAGTTAGCGTAAACAATACTCACTGTGAATACATGCATTACTACATCTACTATTTCTTGCTATTACAACAGAAACAGGGGCTTGAATTTAGAAAGTGTTGTGTCCTAAGTGCCTGGCTTAATGTAAAAAAAAATTGTAATCATGTCGAGGAACTATTGAGGAAGTCAAAAATCAAAAAATCCAAAGATTATGTAGTTAACATTCCCCATTTACTTACCAGTCATTGTATACACTTTATCTATCTCACATCCAGAATCATCACTTAGCCCAGCATGGATGTCTTTGAACTATGGGAGGACACAAGAGCATCTGGAGGAAACATGCAGGCACAAGGATAACGTACAGACTACACACAGAAAAAGCCCTCGAGTTGGTAGTGCTAACCACTATACCGCTGCTGTAGTGATGCCAGCCATGAAAACTCAAAATGTATTCATAAGAATCCTGTGGGCAACACTTGGCAATCGTGGGGAGGAAGAACTCCCATTGAATAGGCTTCAGGCAGAACACAGATTATAGAGAGACTGTTAACAATAAATCACAGCTTAAGCTAATATCATATCAAGGGATAGCATTTCCCATCATGCCATGAGGCTTAAAGATAAAGATGAGATGAGATGGTTTAGCAAGCTGCACCCAGAGACCATATGGGTGCATTACACAGTCCCAGAGGCCTGCTAAAGAGTAAGATCCAAATAAAATCCTAGAATTTTACACACAGTCAGTCAGTATAATTATATGGCAAACAATATGGCATAGAAAACGGTATTATTTGTAAGATAAAGGCATTATGAATACTCCAAAAGGAATCAAAAGCACAACCCAGTTACTCCAGTTAGCAGAAGTGAAGCAAAGCAGAGAGCTAGTAGCTACAGCCACCTGTATTGGCATCCACCAGTCTGTCAAAGATGACACACTCTCAATAATAAGACTTAGTACAATTTCACCAGGTGATTTCAGAAACTGTTGTTTTGTTTTGTTTTTTTGTAGAAAAAACAGAACATTAAAACAAGCTGAGCTCAGAAAGAAGGCTCAAAACTCATGAAACTGTTCTTTCTTATATGCATGCCACAATGTGCCCCAAAAGTATGTAACAATCTATATAATGACACAGTGTTAAATTAAGAAAGTAAATCTGTCATGTGAATAAGTATGCAGTCACTGCGTTAAGAGTATGAATATAAAACACAAAGAGCTTTTTCAGTCGCCCAGGCAGCTGAAGACAGTTAGAGCTGCATTGTGGGCACCAATCCTCCGTGCAGATAGAGTGAAAGTGTGTAGGGGGAGGGTGCATTGGCTGGATTGGAACTCAGCCACAGTCTCCTCAGCCCTGCCTGATCAGGTGTGGTGCGTCTCTAACCAGGTCAGCTCCACTCACCAGTTTCCTGGAAGAGAGATAAAGACAGTGCGAACAAGAAGAACAAGAGTTCACATAATTCAAGTCTGTCTGCAGTCAGCACACACATCATATCAAAGAGGTATGACATGCTGCAGCCCTTCCTTGTGTCTCTGTAGCGTTTTTGCAAAGGCGCTGTAAAATGAAGAGGAAGTATTTTTCTGTAAATAAGTTACAAAGGGATTTTTTTAAACAGGACAGATTATTACACCGAGCAAAACTATGGTTAAAGTGCATAGACTCTACACTTTTAGGAAGTATACGGCTCCTTTACTGGAATGATGAACAATAATTGTTGGTAACACTTTATAATACAGCCTGTCACTTAATTCTCCTGTAATTAAATTGAATATCAGGTTATTATATTTAAAATTACAATGCAATTATATTTATCTGCAAATACTTAAAGGTAGGTGCACTAGAAATAGGGGTAATAGATCAGAGTATTACAGGAAACAAAAACTATTAATCTGCAAGAAAAAATAATTAATCTTTAAGTAATTATAATGCGTACTTCATTTTAAGTAGTGCCTGATTAATTTGAATTATTGTATAACTTAAAGTATGTGACAGGAAAGGAGATTCAAATACTGCATAAGTAATTTTAAGTAGTGCAAACGTAGTGGAAAACGTTCTTCATACTTAATTGTAATTGTAAGTAAATGTAAGTATCGCATAACTTTAAGTAATGCCTAAATACTGGGTATTATGCACAAGAAGTGGACAAATTATAATGTAAGTAATTTTTAAGTACACAGTCATTTCACAGAAAAACAACCAATATTTTCCCACCTTACATTGTTAGCACACTGTACCTTTCAGGGCTTGGAGGTAAGGGGGTAACAAACCTGACTTGTTACCCCCTTATTCCATTCATCCATTCTCTGCGGGTTATCCATTTCAGGGTCGCAGGGAAGCTGAAGCCTATCCCAGCTGTTTTGGGGCAAGAGGCAGGGTACACCCTGGACAGGTCGCCAGTCTGTCGCAGGGTTAACACATAGACACAGACAACCATTCGCACTCACATTCACAACTATGAGCAATTAAGAGTTTCCAATTACCTAAAAGTGTTTTTAATGTAGCTCTTAAGTCAAGTGGGCACTCTGACCATTTTCTTTTTGTACATGGGTCTAATCTGTATAATAATAGTAAACTACAACCTAAAGATCTTGTGTCACCTACAGCTCATGATTAAGTGATATTGATCAGTCAAAGTCTCTATACTGCCTAATTTCCCTTGAGTTTTTATTAAAACATGAATCTAAGGTGGGTTTTCAATCAAAAGCTGCACATGCACTGAGTTTTCGGGCACTTCTTTACAAATAGAAGATGTAATATAACGCAGGATGAAGGCACTGAATACTTCCAAACTTCCAACACAATTGTGTCATGGTTTCAGTCTGTCTGGCCGGATTGAGGCCTCCACTATCCAAAGGTAGTCTGTCTGCCACAGTTTGAAGGTGACAGATGGGCAGGTAAGCTCTCGCTGTAATCCAACCAGATGACAGTTTTAATCCTCTAAAGTGATTCCCTCCATCCGCACCATGTTAAACTCAGAGTGAGTGGCGGCGGGGCTCGGACAGTGTGTCACTGGCACTGAGTTCATTTGGACGGTTTGGCAGATTTGATGTGTGATCTGACGCATCTCACTTCTGGGTAGCAAACTGGTTAGACTCACACTGTCTGCATTTGCACCCAGTCGCAAACAATTACCAGGGGGGTGAAAATTGCTGCAGTGGGACAGCGTGGTGTTTTTCTGGGAAAATAGGCTCTTGAATGGGTTTCCGTGACTGCCCGAGCACGTTTTGCATTAAATGATCAGAAAGTTTCCATCAAAACCAGTCAGGATGTGCATTTAAAAAGAAATCATTCCACATTTTGCACAATTCATTCATCATGCTTATTTTAACATGAAGACTGGTACTGTGCTGCTAGCTATGAGGTCCTAATGAGAGCTTTGCAGGCTTATTTTAATGTGTTGTTTTATCTAAACTGTGAAGCACTTTGTAATTGAGTGTTTTTTTAAAGTGCTACACAAATAATATTGTTGTTGTTTTAAATATGTGCCCTAAATATGTGGGCTACTCTTGTTTACTGTGCTGCTACTGGTCACAATAATATAAGGAACCTCTTTGGTAAAGTGAAACAGTGAAAAAACAGTGAAAAACATCAAATGCAGAGGGTTGTTTGTTAGTCTTTATTTTAGCTGTCATAGGGCCAGAAGTAGGTTATACCCTTGACAGGTTGCCAGTCCATTTCAGGGCCAAGAAACACAACATTCACACTCATAGTCTATTTGGAATCAACAGCTAACCTAACCGACATGCTTTTGAACTGTGGGAGGATGTGCAGTTTGAAGCCGCACAGACATGGGGAAAATATGTAAACTTCACTCAGATTCAAATCCGGGGCCTAACGGTGCTAACCCCTTCATCCATCCTAAAAAACAGACAAACCAAAAAAACTTTTCTTGGTGTTTCCCGTTTTTACACTGGTCATTTTTCAGGCCTAAACTGTTCCTTGTAAATTTACTGTCCGTGCACCGTTATGTTATTATTTCAACAGGTGGCAATTCACTGCAAACAGCTCGGCATCAAGCATCAAAAATCTATTTTTGCCGTACTAGTAAATTTGCTTTGATTACTAAGAGTGAACAAGATGGTTTCATTCTACAGCTGACCGTGATAAATAAACCTCTTAAGCTCCGTGAGGTGAACAGGACACGGCAAATGTAGACAGTGAGTCAGAGTGATTCAAGCAGGGGATTGATTGCAGGAAGCCTGGAAAACAATACCGAGAAGGACATCATGCTC